CAAACACAGAGGTAGGCCTGAAAAAGGCATGCTAAGGAGAAGGTGAGAAGACCAGCCTCACTACAGCAGAGTATGGAAATAGTGAGAAATATTAGGTAGGGTAGAGTCACATTATAAAGAGCCTTGATAGCCATAAAGGGGAATGGAAATTTAAAACTGTTTAAAAAAATTGAACAAATATAAGTTTCTGAGAAGAGGAGTAACATGATTAAAAAATCAGTGTACAGGTTGAGATGGGGAATTCCACGGCTAGTAGGCTAGTCTGGCTGAAATGCAGAGCATGTAAAGGGGGAGGAGGGAAGAGCAGTAAGAAATAAGCTTGGAAAGTCTGGTGACAACCAGACTGGTGAGGGTTTTCAAACTCAAGCTAAATAATTTCATTTTATGGGAGAGGAAATATGGGCAAGTTAAGATTTTTAAGCAGGGAGAGAATGTAGTGACATTTACCTGGTTACTGTGAAGACAATGTATTTATATCAATACAGCTCTCCCTCATCAGGAAAGCACAGTGGATCGAGGTCCGAGGCTCAGGGTCCTCATCATCATAATCATCTAATCTGTAGTGTCACTATAAGTGAGTCATTTTACTTGTCCGTTAGACAACAAACACTTAAGCGCGTATGGTCATCTAGCACTGTGCCTGGCACACATGGCTTGATAAACACTTGTTGAATTGCGAGGCACTGTGACCAAAAGACTAGGCAGACGTATTTGCATATTCCACTGACTTGTATATTCCTTCTAATGTTGTAGTTCAGTCCACTACCCATCCACAACTGTCCATCTTAATTATGTCCCCCCTTGAGTTTGCCAGAGGAGGTTTACCCAACAGGCTAGAAACCTTCCTTACTTTCTCCTGTGAACTCAAAGGTATCAGCAGAATACTAAGCTAGTCCCTCTGGCATCCCTCCCCCTTGACATGTGACCAGTCTATCTTCTCCTATCATACATTCCCTTATAAAGCCTTTGATTCCTAGTCCTTTAAGCTCTTCATTGTTCATATGTTGCAGCCTGTTCATACCCACATATTCCTCTCCACTGTTCTTTTTTTTTTTTTGCTTAGGCAGTTGGGGTTAAGTGACTTGCCCAGGGTCACACAGCTAGTAAGTGTCAAGTGTTTGGTCTGAGGCCAGATTTGAACTCAGGTCCTCCTGACTTCATGGCGGGTGCTCTATCCTCTGCGCCACACAGCTGCCCCTCCACTGTTCTGCGTGACAAGTAATTTTCAATTATTTGGAGACTGTTGTGTTGTCTTTCAGTTTTATAACAGTGATAGAAGATTGATATTAAAAAGACGAGCATTTATTTACAGAAGAAGTTAGGGGTCACAAAAGGAGCTCTGTAATTTCATAAAGTCAACGCAGCCCATTCTCTTCCCAGTGTTTTACTCAGTGAACATTTGTACTACCTGTCCCACAAACAGATACAAATGGATAAGGTCTACAGGTTAGTCCCAACAGCATGTCATAAGATGAACTAGAGATCCTTTATTCATTGGTCTATCCTTTGTGGACGGTCAGGGGAATCTCTTCTCCATGGTGACAGAGTTTTCCTAGAAGGCTCTGCAATATCCCAGGACTTGATACAACTAGTAGGTGTTCGTAGGAGCATCTGAAGAACCTCATCACTTAAGGAAATCTCTCTCCAACTGCTGCATACCTATCCTCCACCGTTTTTATTGACCATGCACCTTTCCATTTTATGCCTCACCTTGTGTTTAAGATCAATGTATCCCTGAACAGTTACAAAAAAATCTGTTGTTATACCATTCAAGACTATTTGAATGATTTTGGAAGTATGGATAGAAGACAACCTTTAAAGATACACTGAGCTTTACTGAATCAATTGCTTTTCATAATCAACAAACACTAAACACAGCAGGATCTACATTTTTCAGAGAACTAAGAAATGATAAAGATGTGTGGTCCACTACAGAATATTGCTAACAAAAGTCTGACTGGTCCCCACCAATACCAAGGATGCCTTTGATTTGTGCACAGCGTAAGCATACATGTCAGAAGTTGCTGATGTTCTCTAGGTCACTCTTTTTCTGAGAGAGATCCAAGATTTTTGTTTAGATTTGGTATCATCCTCTCCATTAAATACCTGGTGACTCCATCCCTCAATGACTTCACAATTGGACTGCCTCTAAAATGGAAGTCTCCTCTATTTGGTCCACCTCTGCTTATTTTTCCAACTTTGTCTCTTTAGAGTCAGATCTATCTCCCTTATAAGCATGTCTGAATCTATGCTATTATTGTGTCCTTGATGGTGCAAGCTTGTTATAAAAATCTTGGTAGATTTATTTCAGCTAGGAGAGAAAGAGGGAGGGAAAGAAGGAAAGAAGGGAGGGAGAAAGGAGTCCATGCTTTCAAAGTTTACATTTTACTGGAATGTTCTTCTCTCAAGGCTCAAGTTTCTTGTTTGGAGTTCAGGTTTCCAGTTCTTTAATCAGTCCTCTATATTTCATTTGAATACCTATGGTAGCTCCCTTATTCCTGCTACATCAAACATGTATCCTCCTGTTAAGCTCTGAAGGCAGCAGAGGGCTTTAAAAACACCTCATCAGCATTCTCGGAGCATTCAACCCGCTAAAATGTCCACAGAGCGAACCAAGCTTCTTAGAGAACAGTCTCACCTATCAAGAAGGCAAAACTATCAGCTTGCCGCCAGCATCAGGTTTGCAAATGCACTTTGCGCTGCTTTCTTTACATTCAAGATGAAAGAAGCCACTAGCTTATATAAGTCATGCATTTCCATCAGAAGGTGGGATTTAGACCCAGGTCCCCTGACTTCAGAACCATGGTTTTTCCACTGTACTATATTGTCCAAATAATGTAGACAAATGTGCTTTTTCCCTTGAATTATCTGAATAACTGCCTAAATTTTCCACTTCAACTTGCAGATTTATACACTAGCCCTGGTGTGCCTTGAAAACAGTAATTGGCTGCTTTCTATAGCAAAATATTACTTTTTAAAAATCAATGCCATTTTAACAAATCTAAGACATCAAGATGTCCACAATATGTAATTCTATTATATTTAAACGAATTCTCTAAGTGGTCAATAGACTTTAGCAAATGTTTTTCAGCTGACTCCTCTTAAGATAAAGGATATTTTAAGAAATGTCAAGATGCTATTATCATTTCTTTAAATAGTTACACTTACTAGTAGAGAATGAAATAGTGATAAGACACTGGAAACTCAATATTTGGATTCTCTATCCACTCCACTATTTACTTAATGAATATTTTCTACTTGTTTCTAATTTGGTAGCTACTTTCCTGGGAATAAATAATTTTCCTTTAAAAATTTTTTTAATTACCAATGACAACCTGAAGCACAGCAGCTTGAATCCCCTCCAAAAGAGAGATTTTTTTTTTTAAGGCATAGCAGGGCTATGTCCAGGTATCATTTTTCTGTGGCAGAGTATGTCTTTATGACCAACCTGCCCAACCTCTGCCTCAACTTAACACTCCTAAAGACAGAACCAGAGGCATTAGTGGATTTCGCCTATGGCAAAGTCTATACTTACTATTCACCATCACCCTCAGAGGTTTCCTAATCCTCACTAAATGAAATATAAAATCCTGACTGCACTCCCTTTAGTAAACTGCATAATCTAACTTCAAGTTATCTGTCTAGTCTTACCTCACAGTACATCCCTTTCACATATTTTACAATACAGTTAAAATGCACTATTTTGTTCCCTGCCCCTCCCCCCTCCGCTTCTAATTCTGCCCTATCCCATAACTTACATACCATGTCCTAAGACTGGAACAGAACCATGCTCCCTCCCCCCCAAAAAAACATACAAAACAAAATTATTTATGCCTCAAGCTCTTTTCTCTTCCTTTAAGGCTTAACTAAGATGCTATCTCCTCCATAAACTCTTCTTTGATTCCCCTTGGTGAAAGTGACATCTACTGCCTCAAATTTCTCAGTGCATCTCTCCCTTGCTTAACAACAGGAACTGTGTCATAGCTATCTCTGTATCCCTGGTGCCTTGCCTGCATTATATCTACTGAAATGAACCCTCATATCCTACCTGCTAAAAAAAAAGTTTCAGAATTTCATTCCTTGCAAACACCCAGGAAGAATACAACTGTCAAATCCCATTCCTGACACTACCTGTCTGACCTTGGGCAAGTCAATTCGTGTCCCTGAGCCTCGGTTTCCTCATCTATGAATGAGAAAATTTTGATAGACGGCCTCTGAGGTCCCTTCCAGCTCTAAATCTACAATCCTACGATCTAGTAAGGGTGTGTAAAAGGTACAGCATTTAGAAAGTAAAACTGACACTTTTTGTAGTTAGACCCCAGGTCTAGTAAGCATAGTTCCCTACACAGAAATGACGGTGAACAGGAGCCTCCAATGAAGACGTTATCACTGTCCAGGTGAATATCTAGTCCCAAGAAGCATAATCGGCCAGGCTTTAATCTTCCTTCCAGAAAGAAGAAACCCTGCTCTTCTCCCTTTGGGCAATTGCTTTGAGTCAATGCCTTTCAAAATTCTTTTCCAAATTTTCTTGTCTAAATTGTCTTTTGTGTCCAGAGAATGCTGTATGTGTACGTGCCTGTGGGTGTCCCTGGGATGAGGGGCCATGTGTGTCTCCATGGATGGGGACGTATGTGTGTCCCCAGGATAAAGACAGGTGTGTGCGTGTGTGTCCCTGGGACAGGGGCGTGTGTCCCTGGGGACGCAGAAATGTGGATGTGCGTGTGTGGCCCCCGTCCCCCCTCGCTCCCCGGGCGGGCACCGGCTGGAATGGGGCGGGCCTCAGACACCGCCGGACAAGCCGAGGGGGCGGCGGGTCGCTGAGGCATCGGGCTGGGGGCGGACGCGGGGCTCGCAGCGGTGCCCAGGCGGCCAGGCCCGGAGGGGGCGTGGGGGGCCACGAACGGCGGAAGGGTGAGAGGGCGGCTGGCGGACGCCCGAACTTGACAGGGACAGGCCGCCAGGGAGCCCCGGGGGGCCGGGGAGGGGCCGCAGTTACTCACTCAGCCAGGACTCCAAGCTCTCCCCTTCGGCTTCCGCCATATTGCAGCCTCCCGGCCTGGGAGCCCCAAAACTCGCGAGAGTCACCGGAAAAACAGCAGGGACCGAGTGGGGTGAAAGGACAAGAAGAGCGCGCGGGATCTGACTGATCGGATCCCCCGCCCTTCCGGGAGCTGGGCGGGGCCAGGGCCCTGAGTGGTTCCCCCGCCCCTCCGAAGATAGGCGGGGCCATGGCTCCGAGTGGTCCCCCGTCCTTCCGGGAGCTGGGCGGGGCCAAGGCTCCAAGGGTCGCCCCGTCCTACCGGGGAACTGGGCGGGGCCAGGGTTCCTAGTAGTTACCTCGTCCTTCAGGGAATTGGGTGGGGCCAAAAAGTGGCTTCCTCCCTCTTTCCTCGGAAGATGGGCGGAGCCAGAGAAACCTGCGACTGCGAAATCTGGAAGAGGGACGGGCCTGGCGGGGGGTGGGGAAGGGGCGGGGAAGGGGCGGAATGGCAGAAGCGTCCTCCAGGACCTGCAGGTCTTGATTCTGAGTGCTCTCGAACATGTCCTCATTCTAGTCCGCCTCTTTTCTAGACTATTGCAGTAACATCCCAAGTGGTCTCTCCATCCTCTCTAGAGTCTTACCTTTCTCCAAACCGTTCACACCCAAAATCATTTTCCTAAAGCACAAGTCTGACCCGGTCACTCTGGAGCTTAAGAATGTGGGGGGAGGGGGTGCAGCTAGGTGGCGCAGTGGATAGAGCACCGACCCTGAAGTCAGCAGGGCCTGAGTTCAAATGCGACCTCAGACCAAACACTTGACACTTACTAGCTGTGTGACCCTGGGCAAGTCACTTAACCCCAATTGCCTAAAACTGAAGTCAGAAGAACCTGAGTTCAAAGAATGTTCAGGGGCTCCCCATGGTTTCTGAGATAAAATGGAAACTCCTTAGTTTGGCGTGTTAAAAAGCGGTTTGCAGGGTGGCCCCCTTTCCGGGTTTATTTCCTCTTACACTGCACTGTGAATTATAGCCACTTGCAAGTCCTACTTGCTATATGTCCTTCGTTCTGGAAGAGAGAACATCAGGGAGCTGGTGCCATGAAGTGCAAGTGAATTGGATTTAAGTGAGGGAGAGCTATGCAAAATCACCAGCCTCACTTTATCCTCTGGAGCCAGATGTGGATCAGAACATCTGGAGATGGCTCAGGGTGCGGGGGGGGGGGGGGGGGTTGACCTTGGCCTTTTCAAGCTAAGCCTTTAACTGGTTTCAGTTTGACTGAGGCATCACCCATTCAGTAATTAAGCCTTAAGAAATGGTCTCTTTAAAAAAAAAAAAGATCTGGGAGGGGAAGACCCTCAGGGTTTCTAGCCAACACAGAAACAATTGCTGTTTACATTCATTCTGAGCCAATCAGAGCCCAAACAGTGACCGAGTTGGGCTTGGCCAGGGACCTATTGTTGGCCAATCAATGAGAGCCAGAGTGATTTGAGGATAAGGTGGAATTTAAGAGAGAAAACAAAAACAAAAAAGTTTCAGAGATTACAGTGTATATTGTCTTTGGGCAGAGCACCCACAGGTAAGGGTGTGATACCTATGTGTAGAGAGAACAAAGAAAGGAGAAATGAAAGAAAAAGAAAGGAAGGAGTAAAGTCCTACTAATTATTTTCTGAACTCCTGCATCTATGGGCTTTTTGCACAGGATGTGTTATGCTCCATGCTTGGAGCACACTCTCTTTTTATCTCTGCGTTTTATAGGAAGCCCTTTCTTTTTAAATTTTTAAAAAAAATTTTTAGTTTTCAATATTCACTTGTATAAAATTTTGAGTTCTAAATTTTCCCCCCTTGCTCTCCTGCTCCCTCCCCAACATGGCATGCAATCTGATATAGGCTATACATGTACAATCATATTAAACATATTTCCACATTAAGTCATGTTGTGAAAGAAGAATCAGAACTCAAGGGAAAACTATGAGAAAGGAACAACAAAATAAGAAAATAGTATACTTGGATATGCATTCAAAATCCATAGTTCTTTCACTGGATGTGGATAGCATTTTCATCAAAAGTCTTTTGGAATTTTCTTAGATCATTGCATTGCAGAGAAGAGTTAAGTCTATCAAAGTTGCAGTGTTGCTGTAACTGTGTACAGTGTTCTCCTGGTTCTGTTCACTTCACTCAGCATCAGTTCATATAAGTCTTTCTAGGTTTTTCTGAAATCTGCCTGCTCATCATTTCTTATAGAACAATAGTATCTCATCACATTTATATACCACAACTTGTTCAGCCATTTCCCAATTGATGGGCATTCCCTTAATTTCCAATTCTTGGCCACCATAAAAAGCTGCTATAAAGAATTTTGTACATGTGGGTCCTTTTCCTTTTTTTAATTATCTCTTTGGGATACAGACCTAGTAGTGGTATTGCAGGATCAAAGGATATGCACATTTTTATTTTAAAGTATATTGCACTTTGGGCATAGTTTCAAATTGCTCTCCAAAATGGTTGGAACAGTTCACAACTCCACCAACAATGTATTAGTGTTCCAATTTTCCCATATCTTCTCTAACATTTATCATTTTCCTGTTTTGTCATGTTAGCCAATCTGATAGGTATGATGGGAAACCCTTACTAATCTTACTAGTTACTAATGCTCTCTCTCTCCTCAAATTACCTTGCATACTCTTTTGTTCCCATCCCCACTTCCAATGGAGGGTAGGTCAAGATGGGCAAGGGCTATTTGTCTTTGTATCCCCAGAGCTCATCGAAGTGCTTGCTTGGCAAATAGCTGGATAAAGACAGGGACAAGGGCTAGGACCTCTGATTTCATTGGTATAGGGAATTCCCAGGTGAGCAAACTCAGCTCCTTTGATCAGTTCAAGTCCACACCTTCTCTGAAATTTATATTTTTAGAAAGTTGTTCTCTAAAAAGCAGCAAAGTTCAGTTATATCTGTTAGTCAGCAAGCATTTATTAAACACCTACTCTGTGCCAGGCACTGTCCTAAGTGCTGGGGATACAAAAAGAGCCAAAGAGTCACTGCCTTCATGGAGCTCTCATTCTAATGAGGGAAATAGCATATACACATATATATGTGCATATATGCATATATATATATATATACAGCAAGCAATATTATAAAATAAATAGGAAATAATTAAAGGGAAGGCACTAGAATTAAGGGGGACTGGGGAAGGCTTTCTGTAGAAGATAGGATTTTAGTTGAGACTAGAAGGAAGCCAAGGAAGCCAGGAAGCAAAAGATAAAGAGGGAGAGTATCCAGGCAGGGGAGACAGTCAGCAGAAATGCCCAGAGTCCAAATATGGAGTATCTTGTTCATGAGACATCAAGTTGGCCAAGATCACTGGATAGAAGGGTACAGATACATGTTGAAGAGTAAGGTATAAGAAGAATGGAAAGATGGTAAGGGGCTAGGTTATAAAGAACTTTGAATGCCAAACAGAGCATTTGGTATTTGCTCCTGGAGGCAAGAGGAAGTCACTGGAGTTTATTGAGTAGGTTAGACCTATGCTTTAGGAAAATCACTTTAAAGGCTGACTGGAGAATGGACTGGAGTAGGGAGAGACTTGAGGCAGGCAGACCCACCAGCAGGCTATAGAATATAATCCAGGCTTGAGGTGATGAGGGCCTACACTAGAGTGGCAGCAGTCAGAGAGAAGGAAGCATATTGGAGAGGTGTTACAAAAGTGAAATTGACAGGCCTTGGCAACATTGGATTGGATGGGGAGGGGGGAGATGAGGAATCCAGGATGACTCCTGGGTTTTGAGACTGAGGGACTGGGAGGATGGTGTTACTCTCCACCATAATGGGGAAGTTAAGAGGGGAAGAGGGTTTAGGAGGAAAGATAATGAGTTCCGTTTTGGTACATAGTGAGTTTAAGATGTCCATTGGACATCCAGTTTGAGATACCTGAAAGGCAGTTGGAGATGCAAGATTAGAGGTCAGCAGAGAGGTTAGAGCAGGATAGGTAGATTTGAGAACCATCAGCATAGAGATGGCAATTAAATCCATAGGAGCCAATAAGATCACCAAGTAAAGTAGTAGAGAGGGAGAAAAGGGGCCTGGTTGGAACTCTGAGGGAGACCTATGATTAGAGGGCATGATCTGGAGGACGATCCAGCGAAGGAGCAGTCAGGTAGGAGGAAAAGCAGGAAAGAGTGGTGTCTGGAAAACCCAAAAAAATAAGACAGTATCCAGGAGAGAGAAATCGACAGTGAAAAAGGTCCAGGAGAATCAGGATAGAAAAAAGACCATTGCATTTCACAACTAAGAGAGATTGGTAACAGATTCTGTGGAATGATGAGGGCAGAAGTGGGGCTTTAAGGAGTTAGAAAGTGAGGAGAGAGAAAAGGTTCCAGCCCAATGGAAATTAGCAGTGAGAATTAGTATAATTCAACCACTTCACCGTATTCACAGTATTTGGATGTGTGTACCCACAAGCTTGGTACAGGATAAATAGGAAATAGTTAACAGAAGGAAGGCACTGGAATTAAGACGGGTGGAAGAAAGCTTCTAGTATCCAGCAGAAGACAGAGGTGAGATTTTACCTGGGACTTGAAGAAGCCAGGAGGCAGAGATGAGAAGGGATGGACGACATTGCAGGCATAGGAAACAGCCAGGGGGAAGGCTTGGAGCAGAGAGGAGAGTGTTGTCCCAACAACAGCAGAGACCAATGGCCCTAGAGCAAGGCGGGTGGGAGGGGCCATGTATAACACTGGAACTCAGATCTCCCGAGCTTGGAGAAAGGCTTCCTAACCACTAAACCCTCGTCGGGTTGGATGAGGTTGAACTGGACTGGATTGGTTAAATTGGATTTTCCGATAGGATGCAGGGGTGGGGGGGGGGGGCAGGTAGAGTGAAAGATCGCGAGAGTTCGCAAATCGGCTCAGGCAAGCCGCCGGGCAGCCTTGCCCGGCTTGGAGGGGTCCTGGAGCCAGCCAAGATGGCGGCCCCCGTGGTGAACTCGGTGCAATGCCTCTGGAGCCTGGGGCCCGGAGTACGGAGGACCCTCCGGGCTCTGCCGGGGTGAGAGGACCTGCGTTGGGGGAGGTGGGGTGGGGGGTGAGCGGACCTTCTCTCCGTGCCTGGCGGCGGCGCTGAGCAGGCGGTCCCTCGGGGCCCTGCCCCGGGCTGGGGGGAAGGGGGAGGCGTGGATCTTCCCATCTCCGGCCCAGCCCGGTTTGGTGTGGCCCAGCCCGGGGGCAGACAGGTAGGGCCCCGGCTTCACCCGGGGGCGAGAGCGGACAGGGACTTTGGGGATCACACAGACCCTTTACAAGTAAGGAAACTGAGAGGGAGGTGACTTGTCCAAGGTCACACTGCTGCCTCGGAGCTGTGGAGGGGGTTCCACGAGGTAATGTTTGTAAAGCGTGCACAGTGCCCCGCACGGTGTAGGCGCTGCATAAATGCGAGGAAGGTGGACACTTTTCTGTTTACTCCTGTACGCTGCGCTTGGCGTAATGCCTGGCACGTGGCAGGCACTATATAAATGCTAGCTCTCGTTATTATTAGGAAAGTGAAAACTTTTCTGTTTACTCCTGGAAACTGGGCTTAGCATGGTGCCAGGCACGTAAGAGGTGTTTAGCAAATAGGTGCTACATAAAATGCTTGTTTCTTTCCTCGTAGCAGCGGTGACAACTAGCTTTTATATTGTATCTCAAGGTTTGCAAAGAGTTTTACATATGTTTTTTCTTTTGATCCTCACAACCCCGGAATGGAGATGTTTTATTATTCTCATTTTGCAGTGGAGGAAACCGAGTCAAACAAGTTTAGTGACTTACCTAGAGTCACAGCTAGTAAGTTAGTGCCTGAGACTGGAGTTAAATTCAAGTTTTCAGGAGTCCAGGGCCAGAGCTTTATTTTCAAGCACACAGGTCACCTCCCACCCCTCAGTTTTCTTATCTGCAAAACAGTGAGGTTGACACTGTGGCCTCAACTACCAGCTTGATTAAAGAATGTATTACTACAGGCCTTTATTGGAGCTGTGTGACCTCAGGACCACACAGATCTAAGGCACCTCTAATGTTTCTTTGATTGGCCAGGAACCCTCCCCCACATATGACCCTGGGGGTGGGCATGGCATGTCATAGAATCATAAATTGAGAATTTAAGGGACCTTAGAGGTCATCTCAGTGCTTGGTACATAGAAAGCATTTAAATGCTTATTTACTGGTTAGCCAGTATAATCCACCGTCCTCACTTTACGGATGAGCACACTGAGGCCCTGGGAGGTTAAATAACTTGCTCAGGGATACACAGAGGGGCAGCAGATGCAGGATTTGAACCCAGATTTGGTTACTGATCTTGTTTGTGTTCTGGGGGTAGGAAAAGTAGCCTGTGTTCCTAGAAAGGATTGATGTCTCTCATTACTTGGGAATTACTTAATTGATTTTAGTGAGGTGGCCTCACCGTGAGGCTGCAAAGCCAGAATTCCTTCTGCTTAAATTCAGGTGGGCAAGTTGGCCTCATATCTGGTCTCCTGGAACTTTTGAAGGCAAGTTAAATAAAAAAGCCAAGCTAAATTGGAGTCAGGGAACCTGGGCTTACAGCTCAGACTGCCCCATCCTCCTCTGTGTCTGACCTTGGGCAAGTTACTCCCCTTCTCTGGTCCTCACCTATAAAATGAGGGATTTGGACTCAATGAAAGTTAGTCATTTCTAAACCCTTCTGATGTTATGACTTCTTATCCCCAATCTTCCCCCTCCAGACTGACACAGGTGAGATGGAGCCGCTATGATGCTAACTACAAAGAACCCCAACTTGATAAAGACTACTACCATCAGCCCTTGGAGGAGTTAACTGAAGAGGAGAAGTTTGATCGGGATCTCAGAACCATGCAGATCTTCAAAGCTGCCCCACCATCAAAGACAAGCTCTTTGTTTGAGGACCCAGTGATCAGGTTAGATCCACATGATACTTTCTTCTGTCTAGGGGCAGTGACCATCTTAAAGAAGGTCTAAAGTAAGGAGTCCACTGTATAGTCTTAGAGGCCTGAACATTTTGCTTTTCTTCTTGAAGTAAATTCACCAACATGATGATGAAAGGAGGGAACAAAATACTGGCCAGATCTCTGATGAATGAGGTAAGGGCGACATTCCCTATCCCTGCATCTCCTCCTTTGTACCTATTTTCCCGACTCCCTTAGCTTGGCACCAGAGGAGACTAATTAGTGCACTGGGCACCAGGGGAGGGAGTGGGGACGAGTCAGGGGTCTTGTCAGCAGCAACCAGGGCTGTTACCAGAATAGAATGAACTGAGTGTTCCAATCCAGAGGATTTTTTTTTTTTTTCGTGAGGCAATTGGAGTTGTGACTTGCCCAGAGTCTCACAGCTAGTGAGTGTTATGTGTCTGATGCTGGATTTGAACTCAGGTCCTCCTGACTCCAAGGCCCGTGCTCTATCCACTGTGACACCTAGTTGCCCCCCAGAGGATTTTTAGAAAAGGATTTTAAATCGACACTTCTCCAAGAGAGGAGAGCAATCTCTGTAGAGAAGAAGGGGAGGCCATGATGAGGTAGGGAAGGCCCAAGTTGATGGGGAATTTTCAGCTAAGCTAGGCTAATTAACCCTTCAGGGCATTTCTAAAGGTTTCTCTCCTTGTATTTCCATTTCAGACTCTGGAAACCCTCAAGAGAAAGCAATTTAAAAAATACCATGAAGCCAAACCTGAGGATCGGGAGGCCATTGAATGCAACCCCTACACCATCTTCCACCAGGCTCTACAGAACTGTCAGCCTGTCCTCGGCCTGGTCAGCATCCTTAAAGGTGGCCGATTCTATCAGGTGAGTAGGACAGAGTTGGGTGGCCTTGTGGGTGCCTCTGGTCTTCCATAATCGGAAGTTCTTTGAGGGCAGCCATTATCAATGGTTCATACCATTTTGTGTGTCCATATACTGAATACTGAGATGAAGGTAGATATCAAATATAGATCTAGGTTGGTTTTTTTTTTCTCCCAAAAAGCTTTTGGTCTAAAACGAGACTGATTGTTTACATTACCCCAGAAGGTTGGGAGGGGACAGTTTTGATGCTGCTGTTGCTGTTCTCCGTATTTCACCTTTGTATGGTTTGTTCAGACTTGCCTGTTTATGGGGGTTTCTTGTACACAGCACTGTCTTCCCTTTGTGTTTTTGCACAAGTGGTCTGCATACCTGCGACGCTCTTCCCCCCTCATCTCTGCTCTTTAGGATCTATAGCCCCTTCCAAGCTCAGCTCAAGAGCCATGTCCCAGGGAGCCCCCTCCCCCAACTTAGTTTGTGTTGGTTTGTATTTCCTTATGTGACAGGTGTATAGATTATTGCCACCCATAGCATGCTAGCTCCTTGAGGGTAGGGACTATCCTTTTCCCCAACACCTAGCACTGTACTTGGTATATAAAAGGCACTTAATAGTTGCTTATTGAGTGAATCATAAACATTACATTTTTGTTGCTTTGGCTTCTCTTGGATCAGGCATCCCTCAGGGACTCTGCCTGTGGCAGGCCCAGCTCCTGCTGCAGCATCTTGCTTAGCTTCTCTCATCTCTCACCACTCCCTTCCACTCCTCAAAATAGGTCCCAGCCCCTCTGACTGACAGGCGCCGGCGCTTCTTGGCCATGAAATGGATGATTCAAGAATGCCGGGAGAAGAAGCCCCGGCGAATGCTGATGCCAGAAAAACTGTCTCATGAGTTACTAGAGGCCTTTCACAACCAAGGCCCTGTGATCAAGAAGAAGCATGAGCTGCACAAGATGGCAGAGGCTAACCGAGCCTTTGCCCACTACCGATGGTGGTAGAGGGCGGGAAGGCTTGAGCCTCAAGGTGAGAATCTGGTACCATTGCTCAGCTTCTTGCCCTTCTGCTGCTGCTGGCAAGGTCAGCCTGAGCACAGGAAGGTCATTTAGTTTTTACCATTGGGGAGGGGGCACCACCAACAGTGTTGGTTTCAAGTTGAGGAATGGTTAGAGCTTAGAATGCAACATCTTCAAGCTTCCTCTCTGGTAGGCTTGCCACTCACAGCTGTTCTTAACCAGTATTGTAGTAAAGCTTCCACTTAGTACTGGGAGGCATGTGAGTAGCAAATTACTCAAGCTGTGCCATCCTTTTGAGCTCCCTCCCCTTCTCCTCTACCTGCCACCCCCAAAAAACAACACAGGCTTGGGCTCCACAGATGAGCTCAGCAAAGCCATTTCCTTTGCCTCAATTCTAGCTGAGCCTTTGGCTTTTGAAAAAAGAAGCATCATTCACTTTAGAAAAGGTTTACTAGAAAAGTCCTATACTGGTTCATAATAAATTACTTATATATATGTGTATATATAAATTTTTAAATCCCACACTGAACCAGTGTTTTGGTCAGCAGCTCATTAAAACTTGTCTGGATAAAATACCCTTGTTTCCCAAGTCATTTTTGTACAAAAATTATAAAAAAAAACCAAAACAATAAACCCGGTTTCTAGCACTACTTGTGCTCTGGTGCCTCGGCCTCTTTACCTGGCTTTGGAAGCCTCCCTTTCATGCAGGTAGTTCAGAGACTTGGCCCCAGTTCTTAAATGCTCCCTTCCATGCTTTGCCCCCTGAAGATTTCAAAGCATCCTAACCGCTGATTTCCCATTTTACAAATCAGAAAACTGAGGTCTCAAGGGAGAAGATGTACTGATGGTTGCACAGTGCAAGGATGGTAGAGTTGTCCTTCACTACCAAGTTCCCCAGTAGGGGTGGGGATGTCCAATCACTTAGTTGAGGAGGTAGGGTGTTAGTGCATTGGGCTTGGAATCAGGAAGACCTGGGTTTGAATACCGTTTCAGACATTCAGATTATCTGTGTGAACCATCAGTAAATCATTTAACTTCTCTGGGCCTCAGTTTTCTTATCTGTAAAATGAGGGGGGTGAGGTCATTGTTTTCTGAGGTTCCTTCTAGCTCTTCATGTATGTTTCTCTGCAGTTGAAGTACAGTAGAGGAGGCCAGGAAGCCTGTGTGCTGCCTTGCCCTCACCCCTCTGCGTAAGTTAGAAGTGCTTGACAGGAAGAAAGTGGCTGAGGGCGGCACTGCTGTAAGCCCAAAGCTTGGAGCTGGGGAGAACCCCTAGTAGTAAACAAGTCAGAAGAGAGAAAACCCTGGGGACACGAGTTCAGATATGTGAGCCTGTGCGTGGGGCACCGTCTTGGCGAGAGTGACGTGTATAGACAGAAGCCTTCTGGAAGGTGCTGGTGAGTGGGCCCTGAGGCTGGGCCAGCCTAGTCAGAAACCTCGCTGTAATAATATTTCTGGGCAGCAGGTGTGGTCCTCCAGCCAGCAGCCCGGAACTCAATCAGCTCCAGCAGCAGGAGCTGGGACAGGGAGCTGAGCCCACCTTGGAGCAGGAAGCCATCACGCAGCAGACCAAACAGCTCATCCATCCTCTGCCCATTCATTTTCTCCAGTTGCTCTCCAATTCGGTGGAGTTGTAACACCAGGCAGTCCACCTGAAGGAGTTGGGGAGGGATTCCCGATCTCTCATGTCCCAATCCCCCTTCTCCCTCCCTCTCCGCCTAGTACTAATGTCATTTCTGGGACCCTGTGATCCCTCATCTCATTATGCTCCCCGGCCAGGGCTCTTCACCTTCTTGTAAGACTCCCAAGCTGGGTTACCCAACCCTCCTCCTCCCACTCCATTTGGTGGCTTTCTGCCCTTTGGTGGGTTGTGACCATGGTAACACCCTTTTAGCCGAGCTTTTAGACTTCTGCCCCAGGGAACAGAATGCAAAGCCCCTGGCAGCAAAGCCTTAGCTTCCTGAGAGGAGCCAAATGTTCTTCCTGCTCTCTTAGCAGCTCTGGCATTGACTGCTTCCTTTCCCCCTCACCTCCTCCTCCTTGTGCAGGCTGTCAGGCTGTGCCAGTCGAAAAAGGCAGTCATAGACAGGGTTGACCAGTGCCATCATAGGCATGTTGTTCACCTGATGGAGGAGGGACCCAAAGCACTGGAGTTAATAGGGAGGAGAGAAGGTCCTGTTCCCCACATCCACTAGGAACACTCCTAAGCCAGAAGGACATAGACAGAGACTGGCATGAGGTAGATTTGGCAGAGGCTCACAAGACCACAGGGAAGTTTTAGAAAAAGAAACCTTGGTGCCACAAACACAGCTGCATAACCTCGGTAAGGAATGAAGCCTCCGCCTCTAGCCTTGTTAGCATTATCAACCCTTTACTGGGGTGAGGCAGTGGCTTGGCTTGGGTGGTGGGGGGCCACAGGGACACAGGAAGGGGGTGGTTCTCACTGGCCTCACCCTCAGGTAGTCAAAGATGTTGCAGATGAAGGTGACGTAGCAGACCCAGCCCTGCAGGGATCGGGCTCGGAGCTGCTCCCGGGCCTGGTACTCCTGCTGCAGCCGATTGAGGAGGCCCCGACGGAAGACACTCTGGCTGGCTTGCTTGCTCTCTGCCTGTGGCCCAGGGAAGGGGTGGGGGGTGAGCCCAGACGTACATGGAGGCTTCTTCCAGGATGTCTTCGGCTGAAAGCCTCCCTTCCCTGCTTTTCCATCTGCCCCTACCCTGACCCTTGGGCTGGAGGCTATGTGGTCTCAGGACAGAAAGGTTTTCCCAGGGGGCCTTTTGAAGCTTCTTTCCTGTCTTCCCTCAGCTAGCATGGAGGCAGTTGCCTGTTCCCTAGCACCTCTGGGGGTGTGGCACTCCCCCAGCCACCAACTGTCCCCGGTCCCCTCCCCCACCCCAAGACCTGAATGATGGTGTAGCAAATGCGTCCGGCTTCCTTGCTGAACATACAGTCTTTCAGGGATTGGTCCACAATCACATTGGCCACTTTCTCCAAATCCACAGCACCAGGTTCTAGGGATGAGGGTAAGAGAGGTAGTCCACAGATAAAGTTGCTCTTCCTATATATACTGTTACCCTCCTTTAGTACCTCTGCCCAAGAGCCCAGGCACAGGACAGCTGCTAAGTGCCCCAGTGCATAGAGTGCTCGATTTGGAGTTTGAATCCTGCCTCAGAAACTAGCTGGGTGACCCTAGCAAATTATTTAACTTCTCTGTGCCTCAGTTTCCTTATCCATACAATGGGGATTGTAATAACACCTACCTCATAGGTTGTTGTGAGAATCAGATGAGATAACATGTTAAGCATTTTTTGAACTTTAAAGTGCTATAAATGTTAGTTCTTGTAGGCAAGCTAGCTACACACTGTCTCTTCAGTATATGAGGCACTGGACATTTCTTCATTGAAGGTCTGTTTTAGGAAACAGGAATAAAGAGGGGACCCAAGGAGAACTGGTGACATAACAGCAAAAGCCAAGAGTAAGATTGTAAATGCTTCAAGAGCAGAGACTCTCCTCTCTTTTATCCACCAGGGTCTGGGTCACTTAATGAGCCAATAAAAACAAACTTGGATTCTTTTGGCATGAGTGCTACTTCCATTGGTGAAAAACACCACTTTTCTTTGACTTGGGTGGTGGTTTTCAAGGTAGTGTGGTTGAAAACTTTTATTAGTCCACATTACAAGTTCATACAGATCTGTTTCTTGGCTGGCCCTTGGACAGACACAACCCATCTCCAAATCCACCCGTATTCAAGGCCTTCTTAGGAGAGCTCACACTCTGTTGGCATAACTGTTGAGATTACAGTTCTCTTCACAACAAGGAATCAAGGTGGGACTCACTGGATTAGAAGGCACATTTTCCCCCCTCTAAAATACTGGCCTGAATTTCTCTAGTATCTTATTTGATGAATCCCTTAGCTTTGAAAAACTGAGTACTCTGAAATGCATGCCTGTTTTGGGGGTCCTGTCTGAGAAAACGAAGAAGGGAATACACAGTACAAGACCTGCTCACTTCAAGATTGTGTGATTTGGGGGCAGCCAGGGAGTGGATAGAGCACTGGCTCTGAAGTTAGGAGGACCCGAGTTCAAATCAGGCCTCAGACACCAGCTATGCGACCCTGGGCAAGTCACTTAACCCTGATTGTCTCAAAAAAAGATTATGTGATTTCATCGAAGTAGGTACTTCCTCTCTTTAAGCAGATCGTGATATCTCCAAGCTTTACTTTTATCTAGTACCTAATATATAGCAGGGATTTATTATCTGTTGAATTTTGTAAGGTTTTATGACTTGCTCCAAATCAGACAGCCAACAAGCATTTATTAAATGTCTATGATGTGCCTGGCGCTGGAGTTAGAAAGACAAGTGAAACCCTGCACAAAAGAAACTTCTGTTCTATCAGACTTAGTCGGTGGTCTGGGTTCCACTGGGATGGCCTTCAAAGAAACTATGGTCAGCTCCGTGTCACAAGGAAGCATTAGAGGAAAACTTGTAGTGGAGGCTCAAGATGTGCCCATATTAAATTATTTCCTGCTTCCCAATTCAACATCTGGAAGCTTTTTATTCACTAATAAGTAGAGAAATAATTAAACTGATGTAACCACATTCTTGGGTTCCACTTCTTTGCAAATGTGATTAATGTAGATGATAGGTCCCAACCCCTCCTCCTGCTTAGTGGTCCTCCCCATTCCTTCTCACCTTTGAGGGCAGTCTTCAATAACCTCTGGGTCTCAGCATCAAAGGACTGGATTTCATACTCTTCACGGCCTGGCTCACCCATGACTGTCCAGCCCACACCCAGCTCTTTCTGGGGGGCAGGGTTGGTTGTCAATACCTGGAGGACTGGTGAAGAGAGAAAGGGATGGTCATAGGATCAGTCACCAAGCATCCATTAAATGCCTATTATGTGTGAGGCACCCTGCTTGGCGCAAGGGATACAAGTACAAAGAATGAAATAACCTGTGATTACAGTGAAATCACAAAAAGTACATATAAAAAATATACAGCATAAATATAAAATTAACATACATAAAGTAATTAAATATATGGTAGTCTGGAAAGGAAGGCACTAGCATTTTGGGGAAAATCAGAAAAGGCTTCATGATTTTGAATCATGAAGTTAGAGGGGGCCTTAGAAACCATCAAGGCCAACCTCATGTTACAGATATGGAAAGTGAGGCATTGGTAACGGGTTAAAAGATTTGCCCAGGATCACATAGCTGGTAATTAGCAAGACAGGATTTAAACCCAGGTTTCCTAAATCCAGTACACCATACTTCAGCTGAGGACCACCCCTTCCTGTGGTGAGCAAGAACAACGTTGCTCGACCCTCAAAGCCAAGCATTGTTTTGTTTTGTTTTGTTTGTTTTACTTGCTTTTTTTGTTTTTGTTTAAAAAAAAAACAAAACCCAGCCTGGTCCTATGCTGTCCTGGAACACAGGGTGAGGGAGAGCCCACATAGTGCCTGATCACCCAGCAGAGACTGGGCAAGGGTAGTAATTTTTGGGAGCCCCAGTCTACTATTTCTTAAAAGAATTAAAAATTTACGATGAATTAGGATAATCCTCCCATCTTAGAAGGGTAGAGCTCATTCCTGGTCAATGCTAGAATTGGGAGGGGCTCACACCCCTGCTGGATTGGGCAGGTGATTAATCTAGGCGGATACTTGAAACTCCACCTCAGCCTGGGAGCTCCGCCCAAGCCGAAGTCACACTCAACGCACCCCAAACCACAGAGCTCAGCACAATTTCAAGCTTCTGATTCACCCTTATTGCTAGGAGGGAACCTGGCAGAGAAAAGGGCCTCTGCTTAGAACCACCAACTCTTCAGGCTTCCAGTGACTGGACTCCACACGTCCCGTCCAACCTGAGATCTTAAAGACCTTTCCCCACACGCCCCACCTGCCCTCCATCAGTACTCCCACACTCCCTGAGCTACAGGGCCTTGCAATGGTTCCCCTACAAAGGGTCCACTGCCCTCTTTTACTTGCACTAGAGCAGCATGAGTGCAGGAAACTTCTCCTCTGTGGTCACTTGAGCCCCAAGTGCTAGCTTCTCCCCTGAGGCCCTCAACCCCACATTGGCTCTCCTCTCCCTAGTGTCACACACCAGGCTCTACTTCCAAACAGGACTGGTTCCTGGGACGCCATCCTGTGCCCGTGCACTATTCCTTTGGAGTACGGCGGCGGGGGGAATGACTATGGCCAGGGAAGGTTAGGCTTCCAATTTGGGGCCCCTGCTCTGGGCAGCTCCCCCAGTCTCTAGCCTTCTGGGCTTCCGTTCTCCAAGCTCCTCTAGGGATGGTTTGTCGGCTCACCCCAACCCCTTCTCTCTGCCCCAGCACAACTGCTCCGGCGGCACAGCTGGAAACGCGCGCGGAAGCAGCGCAGGCGGCCGGACTCGGGTCCGGGAAAGGAGCTCTCCGAGGGGCCCGCAGGGGCCACCACCCACCTGCCGGGGCGAAACCGTCCCTATCTTCCCGCCGCCCTCGGACGCTGGATCAGCAAGGACATGGTGCGCTCCCTCGGCGACCCGGGGCTGCTGCCAGCATCCAGCTTGACCCAGCCTCTCCGGTTAGGTCATTTCCGAACGCGCCTGGAGAGCTCCGCGAACCTAGAGCGGGGCGGAGCCAGGGCCCGAAAGGCGCCTCGCCAGCGCCGTCTGCCGGCCCCGGGGTCGGTGTGGCCAGGCCCCAGGATGCTGCAGGGACAGGGTGGGCGTCGGACAGCCAGCCCCCGGCTCCGTAATGTGCTTAGACTTCGGCCCAACCCGCGGCATTGAAGCTTAGTTGGCCCAGAGCACCTTACTTGCCTTGCCCTCCCAGCCTTGCTAAAAACAAAAACAAAAAACTGGGGCTAAACAATAGCAATGAGCCCCAGAGAGAGGGGCTCCTATTCTTGGGGGAAGCGGAGATACATCCGGTTCCTTGGCCTGGGGGGAGAGCTCTGCCAAGGGAGTACCCTGCAGAACCCCGGGACACTTCTCAAAGCAGCCACGTGTCTTTTCTCTAGTGTTCTGGCTGCAGGGATAGAACCTGGAAAGATGGTAGAGAGGAGGAGGGAATGGGGATTATCAAGAAGCTGGGGGAGAGCCTGTCTGCTGGTAATAGCCTGGCTAATCCAAGGAGGGAGGAGGTTACAATCACTGCCATTCTGGGATGGAACCAATCTATCCATCAACGACAGCCCCGACAAGTCTTTGGAGGGCGAGTTGCTTACAGAATACGTACATGGAGGGTGCGAATGTCTGCTCCCCCCAACCCCCATGGACACCATCGGCCAGAGGGTCTTAACCTTCTGTGTCATGGACCACTCTCAGATAGTTTCAAAGTAAGTGAAGGAAACGCTGTGTTGAAGGTTGGTGAAAATTAAATCCTTACCCTGTTCCCCCAGCATCTTGATTGGCATACAGGGAGGCTCAAAAGTCTTAGTGCATGCAGTTTTAAGCTTTAATGGATTAAAAACTGCACCAAGACTTTCGGGATGGCTCATGTGTTGCACAGGGAACTTCACTGTCCCCTAAGGTTGGATCTTAATGGCTTTTCTTCCAGGGCCAGTCTGGGTTCTGACAACTCTATAGTTGTTTGACTCTGGACAACCCACAACCTCCATGAGTATGTTTTCTCTCCTGTAAAATAGGGTCACGGGATCACAGATTGAGAGGTGGAAGGGGACTTAGGGACCTTCACATGCAAACTCTATAGCTGTATACACACATATGTGTATGTACATACACACACACACACACACACATACAGAGTCTCACTACCTTGTCTTCCAGGTTTGTTGGAAAGAAAAGGGCCTATGGTCTACAAAGTACTATATATATAAAACATGTGAGCTATAATTATATAGAAAAGTGCTTTGTTTACTACTCAAACTACACCCTTTATTAGCTTAACTCGAGGCTGGAGGAGAATGGAGACATCTACGCCTCTTGCCAGCAGCCTAGACAACAAGGAAAGCCTGGTGGCAGATGAAGCTTCTTTTTAAGAGGGAGGAAGAGAGGCTAAGCTTTTTTTTTTTAAGTCATCAGAAAGGAGAGAAGAGACTAGGACTTTTTTTAGTCAGTGGCAAAAAGCAAAGAATTAAACACAGTCAGGTTGTCGAGAATAGACTTTTACCGTGTTTGAGCACAGATGCCTTGACTTTTTGGAAGTATATAAAATACATTCAGGGAGCTGCCTTCCCAGCAGCCCCAAAGAGGCAAAGCCTTGGATGCCATGATATGAAGGCTTTCTACATCAGCTTCTGTTCACTCACATAACAGCATCCAGGGTATAGGAAAAAGTTTTCTGGAAAGTAAAGTTTCCCACCCTCCAACACTGCTAAAGTGTATTGTCACAAGCCTGAGACAGATTTCATGAAAAAGAAATTATATATAAAGACCCTGTGAGCTGTCATCCCCCAAGGTTTGAGAGTATTAAGGTCAGTGCATATTCTCCAGCTGGGGAAGAGTTGATATCTCAGAGGCAGCACCAGGGACAAATAAGGCCCCTTGCCCAGGATCTGCAGATCAAGACAACCTTTCTGGATCACTCTATTGAGGAAAAAAAAAACAAAAAAACGAAACAGTCCTCTCTCACTGCTCAGCCAGGTTCTGGGGCTTAAGCCCTAAAACACCCACTGAGCATGAACATGGGGCAAAGGCTAGGAGTCTGGCTGCTGTGGTCTGCCTCCGCTCTCCCCACCTCACACACACCCAACTGACATTTCCCATAATTATAAATATCAATTGTGGTTCCCCTATCCTCACCAGGGCAGGGCTGTGAACCCTGCCCTTACCAGACAGATCATCTCATGAGAAGTCACTTCTGCTAAGCTTAACAAAAGGGCCTATGCAGATTACATGGCAGGCACAGGCCCATGAATGGTCATCACCATGGCACGGTCAGAAGCAAATCTGAACACCCCAGAGGAGCAGTGGCCTCTGCTCGCCCAAATTTCCTTGGAAGTGCTATTTTAGGGAATGAGTGTTTGGTACATCCAGTAGGAAGGGGAAAATGAAATCCTAGGGAGGTTCATCACTCCTTCCCTCCCCTTCTACATCCATCTGCTAACCACCACTTTGTTCAAGTACATGTTATCTTTTGCTCCCCAAAGAAAGCTTGTTCCCACAGCCCAGCACCCATAAGAGGAGGCTTTCAGTGAACAGTCTGGTCCATGCAGAGAGAACACTCGAATCGTGTCTTTGCCTAGACATCAAGGTCTGGGAAGCTGGGGATGTGTGAGCTCACTCAATTTGGTACTGACTCTTTAAAATACAAAAAGGAAAGCTATTCTGGCGGGGATGAGAGCTGCAATGGAGGAAGATAAAAGTTGTTCAGAATATGGAATTTGGAGAAGGTGGGGACTGCCTTTACCCCTGCACCTCCAGGCTAACTTTGGAATGGCTGAAGACAGTAATTTCTTCATCTTAGCCATAGAAGGGGGACAAATAAACTACAGAAATTGTAGAGGTGGCTTGGGAGATAAGAGAAAAGCAATGAGGTATGCGGGCAGGGAACAGACTCTCTGAGCCAAGGAATATGATTTCAACTCAAAGGTCTCATGACTCAGGCAGCACAGGAACCACCGACGTGTCAGACACAGGCCATACAACTGCTCAAAGCTCAGTCTGGGGAGAGCGCAGATATAGCACCTTGGCTTTTCTTTTCAAGTGTCCAGTGGATAAAGGTAAAACAAGGGACTCAGGCCCCTTTCCTATCCCTTGGTCTAATGGGACCAAGTAAAAGCCAAATCACATATGCCAACCCCCAAGCTTTCCCTAGAAACCCAAAAACAGTTCCCTTGTTGGCAACATACAGACCGAGCGGAGACAGCAGCTGCCACCCTATTGAGTGTTCAGAATCAATGGCTTGGAGGTCATGGATGAAAGGGTACTTCACAGTGCACCGAGGAGACAGGTTTGCTTCTCTTTTGGAACTGCGTGAAGCCCGAGACCTTGGCTCACTCACCCTGTCTTCTGGTGTCTCAGGCGTTCCTGCAGCTGAGGAGGTGACAGAATAACTCATACCAGAAGAACACAAGGCCAGTGGACACAGCAGACTTCAGCAGGCTGGGAGTGAGACCTTTAAAGAAGCCCTGGGTGCCCTCTTCTTGGAAAATCTTCCAGACGCAGTCCAGGAAGCCCTCATACTTTCGAACCTAGGGAAGAAAAGCACATAAAAATCCTGTGAGCAGCTGGGGAGGAATGGAGAAGTCAGACTGTGGGGCCATGTTTGGGACCCCCAGGATTCCACCCCTGAGGCAGCACAAGGTCAGAATGAACCTATTCTTCTTCTTTCAAATGGCTTAGTCCAGGGGTGGGGAACCTACGGCCTCCAGGCCACATGTGGCCCTCCAGGTCCTCAAGGGTGGCCCTCTGAGTGAATCCAAATCCCTTTAAGGGATCTGTTCTGTGAAGTTTGGATTCGGTCAGAGGGCCACCCTTGGAAGACCTAGAGGGCCACACATGGCCTCAAGGCCGTATGTTTTCTGTCTCTAAGTACCTCAAAATTATGAGATGAAATGAGCCACTCCATTCTGTTAAGTATCCCAGACAGGACACCTTATTTTTCCCCTCTCAGGGAAAAAACAAAACCAAACCAAACCATTGCTCTTTTGTTTTTATATCACTTTCACTCACCAATATATTCTTCCCTCCCACCCCCACAGAGAGCTGTGCCTTATGATAAATAAAAAAAGAAAAAAGGAGGGGGGAACCAATTCGGCCAAAGTGAGATACTGACTGAGACTGACGGTCTATGGGACAGAGACACATAATTTATAACCAACGGATCATTTAAAAAGATCTGGTGAGAAGGGTACAGGAGCCAGAATGGCAGAAGGCCTGGATAAAGCCTGCTGTGGAGATGGGCTCACAGATGTCAGGAGAAGTGCCTCACGAGAGCTCTTGTCCCACCACAGGGATTCATTCCCACTTGCCAGCATGGGGGCAGGGAGGGATGCACAGCATTTAACCCTATACGTCGGGTCTAGGCTTTTTAGGATCAAACCCACCGGAAGAACTCTGGCCAAGGGCCCTGAGCACCAGGATGAGCATTTTGTAATGACATCCCTGTCTGCTCTAACAGGAAACAGAAGCAGGAAGTCTGTCTTCCCTGACTCTTCACACCCTCCATACTGACGTCTGCCGCGTACACTTCAGCTGTGCTCTTCTCTGGAAGCTTCAAGGCACAGCTGGCAATAGTTGAGCCTATTGGTTGGGCCCACCATGCAGGTATGGAAGGCAAAGGCACATTTTCTGTTGTTGTTTTCTTTTTTAAATAAACAAATCCATAAACTTTTAAGGGAGAAAATTCTGCTGCCTGGAATATAAGCATTTATTTTGTGATAAAACTAAGATGTAATTGAAATGGCCCAGGACTTCCTCTGTTGAACAGTAACACACAAGGAGAGCAATTTTTAAACCCAGGGAAGCACAAATTTTCAAACCTTGCTGGCTGGGGGTACATATGCCTCGTCTCAAGTCTATCTGGGAATTTCTTTTGATGACTGTGGGAGCTGAGACTGAAGGAAGGATCAGCCAACAAGTGGACAATTTTTCTCAAGCCCCGTCCTCCTTTTCATTTCAGGCTCTCAACCAACACCGCTCACTGGGGTTTATTTTGGTCTCCCTAAATCCAGTGCCCTCACCCCCCACAATCCATCCTGCACACCAGTGGCAACTTTTTCTCCCCCAAGAAGATCTCTGATCATACGGTTTTTCTCCTCTCTGCTCCCACCCCCACCCCCAATTCCACCACAATTTAGACTCAATCTATTTTTCTAGCCTTATCTTTAATTACTGCCTCCCTCCCCCATCCACTGCTCCAGTCCAGGTTTCCCAACAGACACTGTGCTCACCCACTCCTCTCCTTATCTTTGCAAGTGCCACCCCTTCCATCTCACATGACTCCTCCCACTGTACTTTGTTTACTGAAACCCTATTCACCCTTCAAGTCCCAACTTGACTTTCCTTTCTTTTATGAAGTCTTTCCTAATTTCTCTAGTTGGAAGTGCTATCCTCCTCTTCTGACCTTCCCTAGCCCTTTTGTATACACCTCTTGTAAGGAACTAAATTACTTGTTGCTTTTCATTTAGCTGAAGAGGAATTCACCAACTAGGTCCACTACAAATCTGTTTTCTCAATTGGGCCCTCACCACAGCAAGACAATCCTTTAACGTCTCCCTAATTTATTTATTCTCTTATCACATTCCCCAAGCCTCAAACCTCTCTTCAAGCCTCTCCCACACCACTCCCTCCCCTCATCCTCTCAGAAGACCTTCCTTCAGACTTTACTCAGGAAAAAAAGCCATTTACCTTGAGTTCCCTTATTTTCCTTTTGCCACATCTCAGAACCCCTTGACATCATGCCCCATTCTCTCCATCTTTATACCAGTCTCAGATGAAGAGATAGCCTTTCTCCAAGACAAGGCCAACCCCAATGCTTATACTTTTAATTCTATCTCCTCCCATTTCATCTGGCAGCCTCAAATTATCCCTTGACTCTCTAATCTTCCATCTCTCCCTACCTCCAAACATTCTCTGGTCTCCTCTAACCTTGAAAAACCTTCACTTGACCCTACCATTTCCTCAAGCTATCATCCCACAACTCTCCTCCCTTTCAAAAACAAAACTGCCTGAAAAGTTCTGTCTACACTCGTTACCTCTACTCCCTCTCTCCCAACTCCTCAAGCCTTTGCAATCTTGCTTAGGATTTCATCACTTGACTAAAACTGCTCTATCTAAAGTTATCAACAATCTCTTATTTGCCAAATTCAATGGCCTTTTCTCAATCTTTACACTTCTTCATCACCTAACACTACCCTCTTCTGGATCCTCTCTCCTCACGAGGTTTTCACGGCCCTACTTTCTCCCCCCCCTTGTCTGACCCCTCCTGCTTAGGAACCTTTGCTGGATCATCATCTATACTCCACCTGCTATGGGTATATGCCCCCAGGTAAATCTGCTGGTATATACAAACCCACACCCAAGATACATGAGTATATCTGGAAGGGGTCACTGTCATGTCTTCTCTGTTCTGATGATCTCATTCACACTCATGGGTCCAGTGATCATCTCTAAACAGATGACTCTCAGAACCACATATCCAGCCCTAGTCTTTCTCCCGAGTTCCAGTTCCACATCACCAACTGCCCCATAATATTTCAAGTACCTCAAACTCAACATGTCCAAAACAGAACTCAGTGTTTTCTCCTCTTTTTGCTGAGGGTGCCATCATCTTTCCAGGCACCAGGTTCACAACCTGGTGGTTGTTGTTTAGTCATTCTGTCCTGTTTGACTCTTTGTGACCCTACATAGTACAGCACACCAGTACCATCCGTGGGGTTTTCTTGGCAAAGACACTGGACTGGTTTGCCATTTCCTTCTCCAGTGGATAAAGGCAAACAGAATTTAGGTGACTTGCCCAGAGTCACACAGCTAGTAAGTATCTGTGGCTGGATTTGAACTCAGATCTTCCTGACTCCTGGCCCAGGGCTCTATCCAGTGAGTCACCTGGCTGCCTTCTCACAACCTCAGAGTTGTAAACTTTTGTGGTTTCTCCCTCCATAACATCACTCACAATAACCCCCTTCTCTCTGTGCACACAACCACCAACACCTTACTTGGAGCCCCTGTCATCTCTTGAATGACTATTAGAAGAACAACCTCCAAAGTGGTCTTCTTGCCTCAAGCCTCCCCCCTTTCCAATTCATCCTCCATACAGTTGCCATAACACAGGTCTGATGATGTTACTCCCTTGCTCAGTAGACTCCTGTGGCTCCCTATTACCTCAAGAGTAAAATACAAACTACTCCGCTTCCCATTTAAAATCAGCCTGGCTCCAGCCTTCCTCTCCAGGCTTCTTCCATATTATTCCCCTTCCAGAACACTCCAGACAAGCCAAACTGGCCATGTGGTTCCTCACACATCACATTCCATCTCCCACCACCACGCTTTTGCACAGACCATCCCTTGCCTTGTTCTCTTTCCCCACCTACACTCAGAACCTCTTCTTCCTCTCAAAGCTGAGCTCAAACACAACCTCCTACATAAGGTTTGGCCCGTCCCTGAGGTCAAGGTCTCCTCCTGCACACTCTTGTGTACTTACTCTGTGAAGACTTACAAACAGTTCTTGCTTTATATAAGTGGACCTTTCTACGGACTTCTCCATAAAGCGACTTTTACATAATACAAATTTGTAATAGGGGAAAAAGGGAGGGAGGCAGAAGGAGGCTTCGAGCTCATGAAGGGAGGAGGCCAAAATGTGGCCTGGACACATGGGGCCAGGGACAGAGAAGCAAGAATAGCAGAAGGAGCACGCAGGGGTGGGGCCAGCCACGTCGGGGCCTGGCTGGAATGAAGAGGAAAAACATGCTGGGGACAGACATGGAGGGTCTGGACATGGACACAGACAGCAGAGGACAGATGACACTCAGGAGCCACACCTGGGTGGGTGGGCAGAGGAGTCAAAGGTCTCCTCTCTAGGTGCTGGAGGCCACACAACCAAGCCCCCATTCCAGTGGTGATGGTGCTGCACATCCATTCTTCCACTTTCATTTGGAAGGTTTTCTTTTAAGCTTTTGGAGAAGTGGAGGACAGAGTGCTGAGTTGAAAGGCAGTGAAGGGCAGGAGTGGTGAGGAGAGCACACTGCTGTCCAGTAAAGCAAACATATGTGTTTTGTTTTGTTTTTTAATGCAGATTTCTTTCAAAATTCTTTTATGTAAAGTTGAATTTGTATAATGTGAATTTTTAGGTAAAGCAAGAACTGTCTGTATATTTGTACACATTTCTTGCCCTATGGAACAAAAGCAGGGATTACTTCATTTTTGTCTTTATACCCTCTTACCTACCACAATGCCTGGCACATGGTAGCACATCCTTCATAAATGTCTGGTGATCTACTAGATCATCAGCCCTTTGGAGGTAGAAACACCTGAGTGTCTCCTGCAGTATCTAGAACAAGAGCTTGCACATAGTGGGTGATCAAGAAATGTTTGTTGAAAGAAGAAACTGAACAGAAAATGTATATTAAGGAGTGAAATACACACTAAAAAGGCTTTAACAAAAGAGTTTTTTTAAACTCTCCTAGGGAATGTTTAAACTCCCCTTTTAAGGAAAGCACTTGTTGAATTCTTATTTCAATACTTCAACAATCCATAATTTTTTTCATGTGAGTAGGGACTACCTTTACTAACCCTGAACACAATGCCTTGATTTAGGAGATGATCTTTGAGAGCTCCTGTAGCTAACCTGACAAAAGTTTCCCTAGCTAACTGAGGCTGGTCTCCAGATAACAGACTACCTTTCATTGGGCCCATGCTCAAAATCTTTCCAACTTGGAGGCCCAGATTACCAGGAGCTTTCCATAATCTCTGGCAAACCAGGGTCGGCTCCAGGCCACAACAGGGCAACAGAATCCTTTTGTTTCTCAAACAAACAAAAAAAAGGATTAAGCATCCACTATATGCAAGGCAAAGTCCTAAGTAACATGGATGTAAAGACAGATATGTCAAAGAAGCTGCTCTCAAAAAGCTTCCATTTTAATAGTGGAAAAAGGCTAAACACAAATAATGATGATAGAAAAGAAGATGACAAGAGCTGAAGAAGGGAAATGGAGAGTTTTGGGAACACACAATAAGAAGTCTGAGAAGGGAGAAGTTATGTCCAGTCTGTCTATGAAACAGGATTACACTGTACACATGAAGCCTATGGCAATTTGTAGAAAGAACTCTGAGCCCCCTTTCTTAATGCCCATGCCTTCAATCGCCCCAGCCAAAGGGGCAGGTTCCCAGGGCAGACCTTGAGTCCTTCCTTACTCTGTGTCCATACACCTTATTGACAAGTATCTACCAGGGCACGTCTGGGGGTTCTCCAATTGTCCTCATAAGAGCTTTGCTTGGTCCAGGGGACCAAGAAGCGCTTGGTCTGTGGTAATACCAGGTCCTTTAAATGAGAGCAGAAGGGAGCTGCCCCTACTTAAGCCAGGTAGGTTCCTCACTTCTCACTAAGGCATTAGGGTCAGAGCAGAAGGTTGTTCTACATTTAATTCTTCGCCAAGTTCTGTGGATCCGACCTCAGGGCCATCCCTTACATCCATCCCCTCCTTTCCATTCTTGCTGCCAGCACCCTCATTCAGGCACTCATCACTTCTTGCCCATGGAGTCACATCCTTGCCTCCAGGCTTACTCTCTAAATCTATCCTATACACATCACTGCCAGATTAATATTCCTTATTAATTAAAATCTCTATCATATCACTCCCCCTGCTTAAAACCTTGCCTGGATCCCCAAAAAGAGCACTTCTCACCTGTCCAAAGGGTTCCCGGGCTTTCTCAAAGCCACCCACCTGCAACCTCTTCTTAAAGAGGTCCAGGGGATATGTAATTGTCTTGCTGATGACCCCAGCTCCACTGCCACACAGAAGATTTTTGAGGTTCGCTGCAACAGAAGTGGAGGGTGGTAAGAGAAGAAAAAGAAAAAATGCATTCTGAGGTCTTCACCCCAGACAGGGACCTCAGAACACCTAAGAAGAACAAATCCTAAAAGTCTTCTTCAGTCACGAGAAAGGATTTTGTTCAGGAAGAGAAATGAGAAGAAGAGCCAATTTCTACAATGATAGCAATTAACTGCAGACTAACTCTGGCTGATGTCAGGATGGGAGAGATTCCTCCCCTCAAAAACTTCCCACCGAAGGCCAAATGAGGTTACTCTAATTACACAAAGAAGGTCAAGTATGAGGCCTGAAAGAAATCAGAAAGTGGGCAAGTGAGGCTTCTGACCACAGCCATCAAAATCAGCCCCCCAACAGCCCTGGGAGGGAGAACAGAAGATATGGCCTGCAAGGCCTCAGGGACGGGTTCAGAGGGAGGGGTGAGAAAATCTAGTGGGCTGGTAAAGGCATCTGACGTGTCACAGGCCCCTTAGTCTGCATCATGTTCACAGTGCCACTCCCACCCCGCCACAGGCCAACACAGGAACGTGAGTGGACACGTGCTCACTGAAGGCCGCCCCACACTCACCATTCTTCTTTCTGTCAACTGGAATGGCCCATTCGTAGACCTGCTTCAGGGCGCTATAAAAGGAGAACTGGAACCCCGCATAGGGGAAGATAGCAATCAAAGTGGGTGGCAAGCCTCTGTAGAAAGCCAACGGGCCTTCGGTCTTGTACATCATCATCACACCATGACGGAGGTTTCTGTAGATCTGCATGTGTGCACAGGTAGCTCTGGTGAACTCTTAAGGTCATAATGATCTTAGGTTTAGGGTGGATGGATCTTAGGAGCTACCAAGCTCAACCCTTCAATTTCACTGTGAGAAGACTGAGGCAGAGACATTAAGGAACTTGCCCACACAGCCAGTATGTGTCTGAGGCAGGATATGAACCCAGGTCTTCCTGACCTCAAATCTAATGCCCATTATATGGCACTGCCTCTGCGGGCTTTATTTGCCTGATCCCCCGGTACTAACATAACTAATAAGTACATCATTTCTGCTATTAAGGTCAGTCAAACTGCCAAAGAAAATACTCAAGGGAAATCCATGGGATGCAAACTGACAATGTGGATGAAATAAGGGGGATCTGTAGGGTTTTCCATTTTTTGCTGGCTTCCTTCATTTCTACTTAAACACAATTCATTAAAATTAAGTCACAAAATATCATAGTATGCTAACGCTAGCAAAGCTTCATATAGATTGCCCTATGCCTCAGGCAGGCAGGTTACCCAGGCAAGGTAAGATCCAGAGGTATGGATGCTACTCTACCTCTTTTTCTATTATTTTATTTTCTCCCAATTGCATGTAAAAACATTTTTTTTAACATTCATTTTTAAAAATTTGAATTCCAAATTCTCTCCCTCCCTTCCTCCCCAACCCCCTCATTGAAAAGGCAAGCAATTTGATATAGATTATACATGTGTAGTCATGCAAAACATATTTTATGGATGCTATTTTTAAAAAGCGCCAGAAAGTTACTGGTTTGTTAAAGTATCTAGATGTTTTAAGTTCTGATTTTGTGGTTATGCAGGTCCCACAAATTTTACTGATGCCCTTTTTTAACATAATTAATTTTTATTGGTAAATGTTGATATATATATTTTGACCCCATGATCTCCTTTACTCTGGAATTCATTTTTGTACATTTAGAAACATGTCCATGAAAGCTTATTTTCCATTACAAAGTGCCCCAATAAAGACCTGAAAGATCAGCTTTGGTGGTTTATGAGGAAAAAAATCCCAAGGAAGAGGCACAATACTGGTTTTATCAGGTTCTTTTTGACACAGAAGGAATTAAACAGAGAGAAATCATCTGTCTTTAGGAAGTTCCGGTGGGGTTTTTTTTGGGGGGGGAAGGAAATAAACAGTTTCAAAAACCGTTTTGATGCCTTTTGTGATGTACATTGTGATGTTTTTACATATCAATCATTTCCAAAACTACTCCACCACTCACCTACAGACCCCTCTCCATAACAAAGAAAAAGTTAAACAAAACCAATCAAAGTACGTGCAACTTCCAAGCATGTGCATATTTGTAGCTCCAGATGATCTACCTTCACAGAAGACGCATTTCCTCTTCTCTTCTTTTGGCCATTTACATTGCTTTTTTGTTACTATTAAGTTTATAGTTAAACAAACAAAAATCTTCCATGTGATGCCTCTTCCAGATTTTGAATGCCCATTTGAAGAGGTTTACCTACAATTCCCAGAAAAACCTTAAAACTTTGAGATTCCTTGTAGACTGACTTATCTCTCTTTGACAAAAAGAACCTGGCTTCAGTTTTGTTTACAGGTCCCAGGAAACCCTTAAAGTTTTAGAAACTGCCTTATTTCCCTTGGAAAGCAAACTGCCCCTTCCAGCTCTGTTCATTATCTATTCTCATGGTCTGTTCAAATCACTCAGACATTCCAAACGGAAATTCTCACCTGGACCCTTTTCCAAACGATCCACCTCCCCCATCAACTGGCTTTCCCATTGTTTTGCCTTCCTGGCCATTCCCACCCTTAATCCTAGCTAGGCGCCAGTGTTCCCTTCGCCCCAGCTTGCTGGCCACCCCCATCCAGATCTCCCTCGACCCCTCCACCCCTCACCCCAAACTGCTTGGCCACTCCTTGAACCCCTCCTCCCGTCACTCCAAACTGGATGGCCCCTCCCTCAGTCTGTACTTAAGGCTCACCTTTCCCCCATTCTGATGCTGAGCTGTTCTCAAGCTTAGAATCTGAGACCCCTCATGCCCGCCCATCCTAAGGGCATCACCTGGCCTGACCACCCTAGCCCCAGCCCCTACTCAGACGCTGAGCTTTCTAGACTGCCTCACGCTGTTCGTCCTTGCGAGCGTCACCCTGACCACCTTGAACCCCATTTAGATCACTGATGTTTGGGTTCCTTTGGAGTCTGGCCTATATGCTTATCTTCAATAAACTTTTTCTCTGGCTGGAAGAAGATCTGAGTTGAATTCATTCAGGCAAATCCGCGCCAATCTTGGGGTGCCTCTGTGCATCTAAGAGCACCCCAAAACCCCCCCTTCTTCATGTTCACTCGGCAAGTTCCTCATTAAACCCAAACCAACTCATTTTAGCTAGAGATGTAAAACTACAGCCCACCCCAGATTCTGTCCTCAGAAGGAGCACCTCCTCACACAGCCTTTTGTGCACTCAACACTGACTTCTCACTTTCCTGAGCCTTGATTGTAATTACAATCAGTATCATACAGCTTAGCCTCCCTAGATGTCCTGAAGCAACATCTAGGATGCTTTCATGTTGGTATCCATCACAGCACCCAACGTTGAATTTTTCATACAGGAGGTATCGGATAAATAAATGAATACTCACTGATAAAATGGAGGACTTGGAAAGGAATCACTCAAATTTCTAGATTGATAAGAGAGTGCCTTTAAATATTACACTTCTAATGAACCAAACTAGAATAATTTGCACAATAACAACAGTGCAAAGACAGATACCATCAAAAGACTTAAAATCAATGCATTCAGAAAGTCTTCTGATCAATGCAATGAACAACCATGATTCCAGAGAATCAGTAAGGAATGCTCCCTACCTCCTGACAGAGAGGTGATGGACTCAGGATACAGAATGAGAAATATTTTTTGGACATAGCCAATGTGGTAATCAGTTTTGCTTGATTACACACATTTGTTACAAGGGTTTGTTTTTTCTCCCAGAAGGGGATAGTAGAAGGTTCAGGAGGGATAGAAAATAGATTTCTGTTAATTGAAATAAATGTAATTTAATTTTTAAAAAATAGCTCATTTCTTTTGCATTTAAAATAGAATTTTGTTTACATCAATTACAAATCCCTTTATGGAAAGACAGCTATTATGTAAAGTATGCCAAATGCCAAGATTATTTTTATAGTGCTTTGTGTGACTCTGGTTCATCTATAAATATTTATTGATAGACTGAAGACAGTTGCCAGGGTCCTTTCAAGTCTTTTCTCTAAGCCAATGCATCCCACTTAATTTGACATTTCCTCAGAGGACCCATTTCCCAGTCCCTTAATGATTCTGTGCCTCTCTGACCCCTGACCACTTACCTTAGGCTCACCCTGAGCAGCAAAACGAGTTCGGAGAACATCAACAGGCTGCACTGCGAGAGTGGCAGCACAGGCAGAGATGCCACCACACACAAAATGCACTGAGAAGTTACGTGGGTCTTGCCACACAGTTCTGTGGACGAATTCAGTCAGGAGCTCAAACGTCACAAACTATAAGAGAAGAGACAGAGCATGTCTGAGGGATGTGGCCCAGCCTCACTACCATAAATGCTATCGTGGGGGCAGCTAGGTGGCACAGTGGATAGAGCACCAGCCCTGAAGTCAGGAGGACCTGAGTTCAAATCAGGCCTCAGACCAAACACTTGACACTTACTAGCTGTGTGACCCTAAGCAAGTCACTTAACTCCAATCGCCTAAAAATAAAAAAATAACATAAAAAAAGATAAATGCTATCCTGGACTCAAAGTGGACATCACAGCCCAAAATGGGTATCGCCTTGGATACTTCTTTAAGGGAAACTTCAGCTGTTACTTTCCAAAGGGTGCTATGCAGCAGAACCTCAGAAGAAGACCTGCGGGGTCAACCATATGCAATGAATATTGAACTGAGAATGCAGCATGGCAGAGGAGAAAGGGATCTGGGCTAGGAAAGGGGACACCTGGGGCTCTCATCTAGCACCATGATTAATTTGCTTGAGTAAATCACTTAACCTGTATTTCAATGTTCTCTTCTTTCAAAGAAGGATAGTAATACCTGCTTCTTTGGGAGACTCCAATAAGATTTTGTGAAAATACCTTGAAAAGTATTATGCAAATAGTTATTACTAATTATATTGATGTACCATCTGCAGGAGACATGGCACCAACTCCACTCTATGCTGTGTAATCTATAGCATGCTGTAGCTACTTAATTATATACATCTGACAGGGATGGTGGTTGCACAGTGGAAAGGGAGATGCCTTTTTTCTTTTTTGGGGGGGGGTTGGGCAATGGGGTGAAGTGACTTGCCCAGGGTCACACTGATAGTAAGGGTTATGTATCTGAGGCCAGATTTGAACTCAGGTCCTCCTGAATTCAGGGCCAGTGCTCTACCCACTGCGCCACCCAGCTGCCCCCCGGGAGATGCCTTTTTCCAAAGCTCATTCTGAATATGCTTTCTATTTCCAGAAAGAATTTCACATAACACAAATAGAAAACACTTTGATAAAATAATTTCTGCCCTTTTGGAGGCAGTCCCCTAAGAGTAGCTGCCTTGTTTGCCTCATCTTCTCTATCCTCCTTCATTAAACATCACATCATTGGCCTGTTCCCTGCCACTTACTTGGACAGCTCCATAGCCTATGGAGAGAATCTGGGCTGGAATATGCCCCTTCCAGAATGCTGTTAGGCCCTCCTCCTTCAGGATCTGCCTGGCTGCCTGTATTATCCCATTGTATTTTGCATGTGGGTCACTGGGTGACAGGTGCTCAACCTGAAGCTATAAACCAAAGGAGAGAGACAAAGGGAAGGGGAGAGGGGTCCGGTGAAGATGACATTTCAGTAAAGAAAAAGAGAACATTCTTAACTTTTTAGAGACAGTTCCAGTTCCAAGTATCACAAACAACTTTTATAAGGGGAACTAAAATTGTATTCCCACCCAACACATAGCAAAAAGAAAGAAAGGTACCTGGAAACGAATTTTGATAACATCCAAGGGGCTAATCAAAGCCCGAGTAACGAGTCCAGAGGCAGACCCAGCTACTGCCACCTCTGCCTTGGAATTTTTCTTCCCATTTGTACTGGGGTCATAACCGACCATCCCTGCCTTTCTCACATGCAATGTCCATCCGTATTAAGCTAAAAGCAAGAGACAGGTGGGAAAAACAGAAGCAGCTTGGTCACAGATTGTTCACTAAGTAGCCTTCTGGAGGGATCTGGGTGTGCTGCCAAATTTCAGGCAGGTGTCCAAAGGTAAGAACAAAACAAAAACCCAGGCTGTACTTAAGATGTGAGTCTATTATACAAGGACCGTATTTTCTTGTAAACAGTGTCCAGCACTCAGGGAACCTTATAGAAAGGTGGAGAGTCAAGGGGATTTAACACCACCTAGACCTGGCGTTTTCCAGTAACAAGCCCTGGACTGAAAGGCAGTCTAGCACAGTGTATAGGAGGTCACATTAGCTGTATGACCAGAGGTAGGTCAAATCATCTCTCAGTGACCCAGACAACTTTTGAAGTTACAGATGAGATTCAATCCCCTCCCCTCTAAAAAAGCCTAATCAATATACAGGCATTTATTAAGTGCCTACTTTGTGCCAAGCATTGTGCTAGGCACTAGGCATTATTTTGAAGGACACCTAAGTGAGCTCATAGAATTCATTTCTCTGCTTAATTCTATGCACCTAAGAACAGAAAGGTAAAGGAACAAGCATTTATTAAGCACTTACTATATGCCAGACAATGTGCTAAGCACTTTACAAAATATTATCTCATTTGATCCTCACAACAATCCTGCAAATAGATGTTGTTATTATCCTTATTTTACAGTTCAGGAAACTCAGGCAATCTGAGGTCAAGTGACTTAGGAGGCCAGATTTAAACCTAGGTCTTACTGACTCCAAGGCCCAGTGCTCTATATGCTCCATCTAGCTGACTTGTCCTTGTCCACTTCCCACTGAAATAAAATTATTTTTCCTCCACTTCCCCCTGCCCTTCACACACAGTCCAGCTTGGACAAATTATTATTAAGTTTTCTATTCTCATCTTAGAACTTTATGTAACAGGAGGCAATATTTATATGGTCCTTTAAAGGTTTGCAAAGTGTTTTAAATTTTATGTTCATAACAACCCAGTGAGGAAAATATTACAGGCATTATTTCTCCTTTTAATAGAGGAAGAAACTGAGTCTTAGAGGGGTTAAGTGAATTTGCCTGTAATTATACACGACATCTCCAAAGTCTTAGCTTAAAACTGCACTAAGATAGTCAGGAAGCTGGGATTCTAACCTGTTTTCCTGATTCCAAACCCAGAGCTCTTTCTATCCAATCTATTTACATTATGCTATACCCCTCCTTCTACTGCTTTCCTTCCTTCCTTCCTTTTACTGCTTTCCTTTCCAATTTTTTTCTTTCCTTCAACAACCTCAAAGCTATTTTACCTACCACTCCTAGTGAGAAAGTGGCACTTTGCTGCAATCATGAGAACTGTGGTCTTTCTATCTGTGAAGCTTCTACTTGTGAAGGTCTTTGTCATAGTTTCAGCAGGATCCAAAATGAAGATGCCTTCGTCTAATGCTAGGCCAAGGTATCTTTCCTAATGTCCACAAATAAAGTGATTTAAGATGCCTGAAGTTCCCTGTGAAGGTATAGAATGTGAAGGATTTGAGGGAGGAGAGAGCCCTTCCAAGGACACAGTGGGAAGAGAAAGACACTGCAGAGCTACAGAGGTCACCTGGGCCAACCCTCTCATTCAACAAAGGAGGAAAGTGAGGGGCAAAGTGACCGACCTAAAGACACCAGCTCCTGACTGTGGACCAGAGCTCTTTGAGTGGGGAGAGGTTACTCTTGTGTCTGCAGGTACAAGTACATTCTGCTATGCGTGTCTGTGTCAATGTCTCTAGATGGGAGTGTGTGCCCCTCCCAGGCTCTGTGTGCAAACGCACTTGAGTATGGACCCATCTCAGTGTGTGTCTGAGGATGAACACCCTCGTGTGTGAGCATGCCTCTGTGTGTGCGTGTGTGTAAGCACGGACATCTTATACATGTGTCTGAGTGTGGACAACTTTGTGTGTGCCTGAGCATGGACACCTCCGTGTATCTGAACGTGAACTCCTTCATATGCATGTTTAGGCATGGACATCTTTGTGTGTGTGTGCGTGTGTGTGAGCGATGACTCCTTCTGTCTGTAGACCACCCAGGGGCACAGTGCACTGAGTGCAGGGCCTGGAGTTGGGAAGACCCCAGTTCAAATCCTGCCTCAGCCACTCCGGTGCCCTGGGCAAGTCATTTCACCTTTAGTCTCAGTTTCCTCATCTGTGAAACAAGGACAGTAACTGCGCCCGCCTCTCAAGGGTGTCTTGAGGACCAAAGGAGACTGTGTTTGTAAGCGCTTTGCAAAACCTTAAGGGGCCACGGAAACTCGCGTGTGGACGTGTGTGAGGCGCCCCATCCCCCATGTGGACACGCCTGCACAGGTGAGGACACGTACCCACAGGTCACCCGCTCGCTGGGATCTTCTCCCAGGCCTGTTTTCCCAAAGGCTTAAGGGGCAAGGGGGAGGACACAGGACAGTGGGTCACTCACTCGGCTCTGCAGGCACAGCCCGGTTCTGCACTCCAGCCTTCCCTTTACCTGAAGTTCCCCGGCAAGAGCCTGCGGCGCTCGACCGTGAGTGGCGGGCCTCCGGTCCAATTACAGCGAGCTACTCCCCGCCTCGCTTTCGGCAAATGCCGCGTTCCGACGGAAGGGCCTCAACTCCCGCCTTCCCCAATAGGCTCCGCGGGGTCTGGATAATGATTCTTTCTCCTTCCCACCCCACCCTCACGACGCAAAGCTTCCTGGGAGATGTAGTCCCGTCGGAAACGCGGGTTTCCGGACTCTTGAAGGAGGTGCCCTCGCTGCTCCCATGTGGTAGGCGCCTCCAGCGCTGGTGAGGGCGGGGAGGGGCAGGGAGGGGCAGGGAGGGGCAGGGAGGGGCAGGGAGGGGC